TATACACACACACACACACACACACACACACACACATATGCAAAAGCTGAAGGGAGTGATGGTAGAAGGGACAGATGAGGTCAGTACCAGGAACACCACAGGTGGGAGGCCATTTTATAACTTTGCTGTTGATCAAACCACTGTGAACACCATCTTTGCCCCTCAGCAGTGCTAACATTTGGCCATCAAGTGACATTTAAAGGTGGGGCCTCCTCCAGTACTTTTGGGACAACTATCCATAGTAAATTCCCTTCTTGCAACAGTGAGTCCCAGATCACTGAGCATTTCTGGCCTTCACGTCAGTCAGCCCATTCATGAAAACATTTGACCTGTTGCCAGTCAGGACACCAACCTCAGTTGGCATAATGCTAAGGAAGGTTTCCCTTGGAATAGCAGCCCAGAGGTAGGGTGAGTCCTTGTAGCCTGTGAGGACCATGCCCTAGCAGGTCCTTTTTGCCATGACGCTGTAGATGTAGGTGGTCCACCTTGCTCTGGCACAGCTGCTAGGGATGCTCTTGGGGCTGCTGCTGGGCAGTAGATTGGGCTCAGGCTGGTGGGCAGGGGGAAGCAGAGATCTGAGTTCCTATGCTGCTGGCTCTGTTAACTGTATAGGAACCCTTGCACTGCTACTTCAAAGAAATTCTTTTTTGAAAATTTTTTTTTATTTTGTATTGTTGTGTTTGTATACCCATGATGTATTTGGGCATGCATGTCACAGCACACATGTGGAGGTTACGGCCTACTTGAACAACATTTTAGAGTTTGTTCTCCACTTCCACCTTTTGTGGGTTCCAGATATCAAAATCAGATTGCTAATCTTGTGCAACAAGCACCTTTACCCACTAAGGCATCTTATTTGTCATTCTTAATATATCCAAAAGACTGGTTAAATGAGATGGTACGTGCTGGGATTAAAGGCATGCACCACCACGCCCTGCTGCACCCTGTCTTTTTTAAAAAGTAAAAAGGAAGGGCCACAAAAAAATAGAGGATGCATGCCAAAAATTACAACTTTGCTTTTTTCTTCTATTGATAAGAAAGTTTAAGGGTATCTCATTCCTTTATTTCGTCATGCAGTCATAAGCTTTCTATTTTTCTATTACACGTTAGACAATGCTGCAGCTTCTCTAGCTGTAAAAAACCATTATAAGTTCCGCTGATTAAGTATAATTTTATTTTTTGTTTCTTTTTGGCAGGGGAGGGGGGTGTTGGGTTTGAGACAGGGTCTCCCTATAGCCATAGCTGGCCTGGAGGTCCCTAAGTAGACCTTGCTGGTCTGGATCTGGCTCGGCATTTTGAGTGCTGAGATTAAAAGGCAATGCACCACCATGTCCAGCTCTTTTTAGTTGTTTCAGTTTTTTGAGAAAATATCTCAGGTAAACTCAGGCTGGAATTGAATTTAGGATGTTGCCCAGGCTGTCCTTCAACTCCTGGCTCTCATACTGCTGCCTCCTAAATGCTGGGATTACAGAGCTGTAGCATCATGTCTAGCTCAAGTAGTAATTTTCTAAGAAACTAGGAGGAATAGCACTTTTTTCCAATCATGTTTATTAGCAGCACTTTTAAAAACAAGAAAATAAGCTGAGAGTGGTGGCGCACGCCTGTAGTCCCAGCACTCAGGAGGCAGAGGCAGGCAGATCTCTGTGAGTTCAAGGCCAGCCTGGTCTACATAGTGAGTTCCAGGACAGCTGGGGCTACAGGGAGACCCTGTCTCAAAAAGACCAAAAATAAAAATTAAAAAAAAACACACAAGAAAATTGCCCTGTGTCTAATCCGTATGCTCAGTGGCAGTATGCCAGAGTCCTGACTGTGTCAGAGAGAGTCTGCATCTTTTTTTTTCTTTTTCTTTTGGTCTTTTTGAGACAGGGTCTCCCTGTAGCCCCAGCTGGAGGCTGTCTCTGCCTCCTGAGTGAGTG